TGATCGAATTGTGGCTGTCGAATATTTGCTTTTTCTTCTTCTTGCCCTCCCTCTTTAGCAAGAGGCATTTCCCTGTTCCTTGAAACACCTGCAGGCCTACTATGCATGTCTCTTTGCTTCTTCCTCCCCTCTTTGTCTGCAGATGGAACGCTGACGAGGCAATATTGGCTTCGGAAATAAGGAGAGGAATATTGGTGGCGGACGCGGGTTCGTTGCTCCGTCCGTCAGTCAGCGCCCAGTATCCAGCCCTTCCATCGAGTGGCGCGCACCCGAGTCTCAGGACATGGACTTTCCTGGTCCCGACGTCTCGTCCCTCTGTAATCATCGTCCCGTCCGCGTATAACCCACCGTGATCCATTTTCCCAGCAAGTCTACCAGCACAGACATCCCCCAGACGATGTTGGTTCTGGGGTTTTAACCGATGGAGCAAGACATGCATTAGCCCATCACCCATTTTCTGATGCTCCCCTACGCGGACCGACCACCCACACCCTCTTTGATATCAGCAGTGGACCTCGACTGGCTATAATCAAGGATCCCTTCCCATCCCATCATGGTGGTCATTCATGCGCCAGCGCGCGTGCTGCAGCTGGCCATCGGCTGCAGCATGCGGTCTCTGTCCCTCTCTCCGTATCCATCTCCATAAGTATCCACGGCACCGCAGAATGCAACCTTGCCGAGTCACGTCTTTCACTTGTATTGAATCACCGCCGTTTGTTTTGCTTTTTGCTACTCGTACCAGCCATCTCGCTACAGCCGTTTTGGTGCCGTGATCATCACATCGCCGTCCATCGATCAGTTTCCTCCTCCCCCACCTTTGACTCATGACCATGACTGTCCCGACCGAGCAGCTTGTCGTGGGCCTTGGCGCTGGCGCCGCCGTCGTCTATGCCGTCTCCAAGGCCCTCTCCGCCTCCAAGGGCGCTCGCCATCCGCTGCCTCCTGGGCCCAAAGGGCTTCCGCTCCTCGGAAACGTCAACGACCTCCCGCCGCCTGGCGTGCTCGAGGCGCACCACTGGCTCAAGCACAAGGATCTCTATGGTTCGTCTCGTTTCTCCTTTGTGGCGCTCCTCCCCCGGCGCTGGTGGCTTTCTTTATTGAGTCGAGCTGTTTGGTTGACCCCCATCCCCATGGCCATGCAGGCCCCATCAGCTCCGTAACGGTTCTGGGTCAGACCCTTGTCATCATCAACGACCCCGTCATTGCCAATGAGATGCTCGAAAAAAGATCCGTCAAGCACTCCTCGAGGCCAAAGCAAATCTTTGCAGGCGAAATGTAAGTTGGCCCGTGTTGGCAAGTGTTGCGTCGCCTATCTGACGGGGGGTGGCAGGCTTGGCTGGGAAAACTCGCTCGGCCTCTCGCCCTACAACAAGCGTTTCCGCACTTATCGCAAGAACATGAGCCGTATCATCGGCTCCAAGGCATCCGCCGCCCAGTTCAACGCCCTCCAAGAAGAGGAAGTGGGCCACTTCCTGCTACATCTCCTAGAGGATCCCGAGAAATTGGTTACGTACATCAAGAAGTAAGCACCTGAGATCTCTCTCCCTCTCTCTCTTGGCGTACCTGCGTCCTCGGCTCCCCATCCCCTGTTTCTGTTACTAATGTTCCGTCACGCAGGGAGGCCGGTGCAGTTATCTTGAAGATTGCCTATGGCTACACTGCCGAGTCCCACAAGGATGACTACCTCGTCGACATGGCCGGTGATGCTATGGAGAAGTTTGCCCGTGCTGGCGTCCCCGGAGCATTCTTGGTCGATATGCTTCCTTTTTGTGAGCACTGCCCCCTGCCTTTGACCAACCATTTTCTAATGCCGAGCAGTGAAGCATCTTCCCGAATGGATGCCCGGCACTGGCTTCAAGCAAACTGCTCGCGAGTGGGGCGGTGCTTTGACCCAGGTGACGGAGAGGCCATATGCTTTTGTCAAGCATCAGATGGCCCAGGGTGCCCATGAAGCGTCGTTCCTATCGCAACTCCTCGAAGCAGGTGACGAAGATCCGGAGGAGAAGTGGACCAACAAGTGGTCTGCCATGTCCCTGTATACTGCCGGTGCAGATACTGTAAGTCGCCCCCCTTGCCACTTGGGCTGGACCATTGCTCATCTTTCCAAGACCGTCTCGTCTCTGTCTTGCTTTTTCCTGGCCGTTATGGTCACTCCCGAGGTCCAACAAAAGGCCCAAGAGGAGATTGACCGTGTCGTTGGCAAGGACCGACTCCCCAGCATTGCAGATCGGGAGAACCTTCCCTACGTGGATGCCATTGTCAAGGAGGTCTTGCGCTGGCACCCCGTCGCTCCCATGTGTCTGCCGCATACGAGCACCGAAGACGACGTATACAACGGCTATCTTATTCCCAGTGGCGCTATGCTGTTTGCCAATGTTTGGTACGCTTACCTATACCCCCTTGTTGCCTACCCTGTCTGACCCCCTATCCAGGCACTTTACCCATGACCCGGAGGTGTACGAAGACCCTGCGACGTTTAATCCCGACCGGTTCCTCAAGGCACAACCTGAGCCGGATCCGAGCCAATACGTGTTTGGGTTCGGCCGCCGTATTTGCCCTGGCCGCCTCCTTGCCGACAATGCCCTGTACCTGAATATTGCTCAGACCCTGGCTGTCTTCCAAATCAACAAGCCCGTAGAGAACGGTCAAGTGGTAGAGCCCACTATCAGGTTCGAGCCTGGTGTGGTGAGCCACCCAGCGCCTTTCCAAATTTCCATCAAGCCTCGGTCTGCCCATCACGAGCAGTTGATCAAGTCCTTGGAGAAGACCTATCCATGGAAGGAAAGCGATAGCCACGTCTTGGAAAGCATCAAGTCATAGAGTGTCTCTCTTGCCCCGTCGTGTAGCTACACCTTGAATCGAGGCAGAGGGCCGTGAGGATAACACCCGTGTTATGTAAGTATTTGCTCGCCCGGTATGTTTCCCCCAAGCTAGGGGTATTGCAACAGCGGGCTAGACTGCTCTCTTGTTAAGATCTCAGATGGGTAACAGGCCCGTCTTAGTTTGTTTGTTTGTGGAAGACTTGTTGCTCTTTACTATACCATTCTATACTCTTGCAAGTTCTTTTACACCTCTTCTTCCTTCTCCCAATCCTCCTCCTCGTCATCACTCTCTCCTCAAGCAAAACGTTAGCGATGGGGCCATAATACAATCAAGGTAACATACTAAATGGTTCAAGCTTCTGGTACTCTGAAATTACATCTTGCATGTGTAGATGGGCGTCCGTAATGTCCTCCTGGTCAATGCCAACGCTTTCGTACCAGTGTAGCCATGCCTTGCGTCGTAGCATAGAATTCGCTTGCTCACTCAATAACAATAGGCGGTCTTTGATGACGGAAGAATTGGCGACTGTGGTGATGGACAGATCTGAATCATGTGCAGACGCAGAGCAAAACGATCGGTAGAAATCATTCGGGATTACCGAGCCAGGCGTGATTTTATTTCTTATTTCCTCTTCCACTTGCCGGATCGAAAACGATCCTCGGCTATCAATCATTAGTGGCAGAGGCTCATGCTTGGTGCTTAAACTTACAAGATGGCGGAATATGCAGATCTGTGCTCATTCTCAACCTGGGATCTAACCAGCATGCCCTTCGTACTTAGCAGCTGCTCAGCCATATTTGGTAAAGTGGTCATGGCTGTAGACGTAGTTTGATTCAGGGGGATCACCCCAGGAATAAGAAGGCGAAGCATAGGAATAGGAACCATGGCCGCAGTCAACTTTCGAAGATCGGAATTCAGCTGGCCTGGATAACGAAAATGAGCAGTGACTCCAGCCATGGCCGTAGATATGAGCCTATTCAAATCTCGATGGTAAGGCGTTGGAATTCCAAGGTATCTCATGCAGATGTCATAGAGCTCGCTGTTGTCCATGCAAACCAATGCGTCAGCACTGCTCATCAGACTCTTCATCGCAAGAGCAATGTTGTATACTTCGACCATCGAGCGGGACAGGACTAGTGATGGCAAGACAGAAAAGGTCATCATCATGCGGTCAGGAAACTCATCCCGCAGGTCAGTCATGACGGAGGAAGTCAGCCCTGCACCCGTGCTGCTGCCGAGGGAGTGCGCGATTTGAAAGCCCTGGAGAAAGTCGCATGCCTCAGTCTCCTTCCTACATATGTCGAGAACGTGTTCTGCCATTGGGTATGCGTTGAGACCGAGGCCTGGGAGATGCGAAGAGGCTAGCGACCCCGTCCCGAGGGCCATATTTTCACGACGGACGAGCTGCCCAAGGGGACTGGTCAATATGTTGTCTACTGCGTAGGGCCCGAGATCAACAAGAATAGACCGAGGAGAAAAGATGTTGGAGGTCTGGTAGGCGTCAGCACAGACATACCGTCTCCAAAATTATGGGCTCGAAGCCTACCTCTTGGAAATAGACAGGCAATTTTTCCGACCAAATGTCAGAAGCAGTATTGCTTATTCTAGCTCCGTTAGCAAAGGTACGTATGAGCAGAAGCAATAGATACCTTCCGTCGTTGCCTATGCCATGTTCCTTACACAGTGCTTCCCTAGAGTGAAGTTAGTGACCGTAGCCAGTCAAGGATTGGGGCATCTGTACCAAAACACAGCACTAATATTATTTCCCTAAATCATTGTTAGAAACAACGCTTGTCTAATATTCTGCCGGCGTTTCCATACGCATCCGCCAATCTGTAGATGAATCTGCACAGCATGACGTTAGCGTCTGCAGTGAGGGGGGATTGAGGATGGCCATGCATGGGAATACAATGAGTTGTAGACATACAATCTCACGCATTTTACTCGTTGCCGCATTCAATACATGCTCCCAGCGTTCAGAATAAATAGTCAATAGTGATGATACTACCGTCAGCCGTACATTGTGCATAGAAGAAAGAAGGCCGTCGGTGGAGAAATGTACATGTCTGCCTAATATTGCCAAGAATACAGCCTTCGTCATAGGATGAAGATCGTTGGGAATTCCCCGGTCCCTACCTTGGAGTTTTTGGATTGTTATTTCCAACGATCTGTCATCAGGCGAGATGGCCGAGTGGTTAAGGCGACAGACTAGAATCACCACGAGTCATCTGTTGGGTTCGCCCGCGTAGGTTCAAATCCTGCTCTCGTCGCGTAATATCAAGACGCATCCAGCCCAGCTGGGTTTCTTTTTTGCGCTTTCACTGTACTGATTGCTTTAATTTATTGTTGCTTGTGGCTAAGTCGCTTGTCTCAGTTCATGAGGCGGAGGGCGGTTTCTTTCCTCCACGTATAAGGACCTACCCTAGACTGCCACAAGCGGTCGGCGTGGAGATATGCTGTATTGTTCAACTTACCCTCAAAGTTTACTCTACAAGGTTGTTTTTTGTTAAACCACTTCAGGCCTCACTGTTACTATTGCCTTAGAATCATATATGACGGAACCTAGGTTTACTTTAGTCTTCCGTCGACGGACTTTCCTCACCGATTTGACGCCAAGAGGCCATCCGGGTTCTCAGCTCCACGAATGCACATCTTATCACCTCATTCGTTTGGCCTTTAACACGCGCCCACGTTTTAACTTTCGCCATTATTCGCCTCGTCCAACATGTGGCATCTCATTTTGGGGATACTATGCTTGTTGGCTGCATGCGCAGCAGCCGACCCCAGATCCGCTGGTAATGGCGAGTCAGTACCCAAAATAGCATCCATACCAATTGAGGTCGATGCCAGCGTGAGTGTTCCCCGTAAGAGAAGAGACAAGAAGTTTTCGTCTTACTTTATTTAGCTGGGGAATTTTGCAACTGCCCAAGGACTGCTGGCACCCACGGAAAAGCATCGCCATGAGAGAGAGAAGCTTGTCACAAAATTGAGGCTTTCAGAAAGCGAATATGCACAAAAGTACCCCAAACAGAAACACGTCAAAGACCGTCTGCTTGAGGCTCTCTTTGGGTTTACAAAGTACTACGAGGCTCAGCAACCAGAGCTTTCCCGACTACGGAAGCTATACGACAACGTCCCAACGGCCCATAAACAGGTACTGCTGCTTGCCTTGCCTGGCCTGAAGCGATTTGCTAAAAATGCACAGTTGCTAGAGAAAACGGTCAAATACTCAGAAAATTTTGATGAGATTGACCTGCTACTCAAATCGAACCAGGGGCTGTGTGAACGAGTTGTCAACCATGCTCTAGACTTCTACGGCATCACTCGAGAGGAGGTCGAGGAGTATGGACGCAGACCTGCCAATTCCAATATTAACAACCACAAGAAGTCTGTTTCACAGAGCTTGAAACACATTGTGCGAGATTGGGCAGAAGAAGGCATGGTCGAGCGAAACAAGACCTTTACCTGCATTCTCGAGTCTCTGAAGCCTTTACTGTCGAACCTAGACACCACCGTCACGCCAAGAATCCTTGTTCCTGGCTCGGGCCTTGGGCGATTAGGATATGATATCGCTACTGCAGTTCCAGGTAAGCACAATATCCTTGAAACGAAGATGGCTAGCTGACGATGCGTGACATCAGCTGCAGAGGTCGTCACCAACGAGTGGTCGATGTACGTCAATATTGTGACTCGGTACATCGAAAGCATGCCATTTAGAAACAGCGAGGCTGTCCATCCCTTTGTCGATTCTTGGTCCCACCATGTCAGCGATTCTGATATGCAGCAAAAGATCCCCTTCCCCGACATTGACCATGACCCGAGCAGAGTGCTCCTGGTAGAGGGAGACTTTACCACGGCGTTCAGCGGTGAGTTCAAATCATACGACATGATAGTAACGTATTTCTTCATCGACACGGCCCGAAACCTCATGAGGTACTTCGACACAATCCAGACGCTGTTGAAGCCGGGTGGTTATTGGATCAACCTAGGCCCGTTGCTTTATGGCAGCGCACCTTGGGTGCAACTGTCTCTCGAAGATATCGTTACTGTGGTGGAGGAGCTGGGATTTCGGTTTCTGGATACTACGGATATTTGCGGCGAGCTCACCTGGCCAGACAGGTCTTTGAGGACCATGGAAGCTGTGTATAGTTTTGACGCAAAGGCACTGACAAAAAGTGCGTACAAGGCTCAATTCTGGATTGCACAGAAGAAATAGACACTGTTTTGAACAGAAGTCATGTCGATGTCGCGCCTACAACACCGTAACGGGATTGTTGGAACTGTCTCCGACGCAGGAAAGAATAAATATTACTTTGCCCTCCAGACCTATCACATACGACCATAGCTACCTGAGAACATGGGATCCCGTCCGCTCTCCCTTAATTAAGCAGGCAAGCGGCAGATTAGTAGTTGGGTCGGTGACGACCAGCGAACACCGGCTGTTGTATGTTTTCTTTTGGCTCATTTCCTTTTTGCTGACCGAGTGCTTATCCCTGACCAGGCCAAAAGACTCTATTCTTACCTCGTCTTGGGTTCATTTCTGATTCAACACCCATGGCATATTGCGGCAACCCTCTTCCTCCCCTTGGGAACCGAGCCTCGTAATGGCTGGACTCTCGTCTGGGAACTGGTAAACCAGCTATTCAAACTGATCAGGCTAGTGGACCAAGAGATCGGAGATGTCTGTCGGTCATGAAGGAAAATCGCATTTCGTCGGATAATGGCGTCGTTTCGCAAGGCTATCGATGATTGGCACGATCAGTTTTGTCAGGATACCGAAAAAGAAAACTGGGGAAGCAAAAGGCGGATCCTGCGTCTACTGGCTGGTGTGGGGCCTCGATCGTCATCGAGCATGAGTGATGGCCTCGACCTTACAATTCCCAAACTCTGCACTCTGCACTCTGCATTCTGCACTCTGCATGCAGTCATTCAGAAGCTCTGCTTCCTATCCGCGAGATGAACAACCAAGATGTTTCTCAAGATCCCCTGTTCGCTGAACGACTGACCAGGCATCAAACAAACTTCCGGAATGCGCTCGCTCGCAGCGGAGAGCGTCCCGTGGCAAGGGCCTCTCGAGAGGAAATGCTACGCCTCTTTATCCACAATGTTGCTCGCCGCGCGACCCAAGAGCGTAATGGTGCGACAGACTTGGTCATCCCTCCACCATACCCGCCGTGCGACAAGCCGCTCGCAAGCCTGAGTAAGATCATGCTCAGCGACCTGGTGCTCGAGACCCATCATCGCGGAACATTTGCCATCGTCCGATCACTCGCGCCTTCGGACAAGACGGACGGCATCAATGCCATTGTCGAGGATGAAGCCGGAAAGGTTCTCCATATGGTCATGTACAACCAGGAGACGAGCGCCCCGGCAGCCATCAACCAAATTATCCGGAAAGACATGGCGCTGGTCATCAAGCAGCCGTATCTCACGGTCCTGTCGGACGACAATCACGCGTTGCGCATAGATCATGTATCCGACGTGATGGAACTGCCAATTCATGACGGCAGATTTCCTGTAGCCTGGAGACAGCAGCCAATTGAGGCTGAAGCGTCTTCCGCATCGTGGAAGGCCAAAGGCAACGACTTCTTCAAGCAGTTTAGATACGTCGATGCCATCAAATGGTAAGCAGGCGAGCCATTGTGACGCATCCAGTTGTTGACTCTGCTACAGCTATTCGAATGCCCTGACCTGCAACCCTCCAGCCGAAGAAGCCAAGGTCATCAAATCCAATCGCGCGGCGGCTAACTTGACACTCAAGCAATTCGATGCCGTTCTGCCTGACGTTGAGGACCCCCCAGGAGAGCCTAAGCTCAAAGAAAAGGCATTGCTGCGCCATGCAAAAGCGCTTTACGGCCTGGAAAGGTACCGGGAATGCCTGAGCCTTCTCGAGAACATGACCAGCGAGTTCTCCAGCAACACCGAGGCTCAAGCCCTTCTCGAGCGAACTGTATGCCGATGCCAGGAGCAGGAGACTGGCGAGTACAAGTTTTACGAATTCTACAGACAGGCCGCGGAGAACTACCCGCCTCTGGTCGACTGTGCTACATACAGAGGACCAGTGGTGGTCAAGAATGCCGGTGCCAAAGGAAGGGGTCTTTTTACGACGCAGGCCGTCAAGGCTGGCGATCTGTTGTTCTGCGAAAAGGCTTTTGCGCATGTCTACGTCCACCCCACCCTGGAAAAGGTTAAGAGGAGGCCAGAGGCTTTCTATAACCTCGAGGCTAGGAGCGTGCATATGGGTGGACATGCGGAGCTCGTGGCTATCATGGCGCAAAAGCTGCGCCGCAATCCCTCGCTGATGCCGGTTATACGCGACCTGCACCACGGCTCCTACACAACTGTGCAAGCCACCGAAGTTGATGGCCAAGCAGTCGTTGACACGTAAGTGCTCATCCTACTGAACCTCCTTGGGCAATGTACTGATGCATTCGTATCAAGATTCCTGCTAGAAAGGATCATGGCTCTCAATGCGTACGCGTGCCCCTTGGCAACCCGTCTCTCGGCGTGGGAGTATGAGAACGATCTCTCAGGAACCCCCGAGGAGGAACTCTCGTACTCGTGCGGCATCTGGCCAACGGCATCGTACATCAACCACAGCTGTGCTATGAGCGCCGCGCGCGCCTTCATCGGAGACATGATGATTGTGAGGGCCACTCGCGACATGGATGCAGACACCGAGATCACATGGTGGTACCAGTCGCCAATTGACAAGTACTATGAAGAGAGACAACCGCAGTTTCGACCCTGGGGGTTCATATGCAAGTGCCCCATTTGTCTCGAGGAAAAGGCCTTGACCACAAGCCAGAGAAGGGACACCGTGCAGCAAATTTACAGCCTCCTCCCGCGTAGGCGACAACCCGACACCGTGAGTAGGTTGGAGGCCCTCTTCACACACCTGGACACGACATATGCCCAGCCCAGCAGCGAGATGCCCCGACTCTTTACCTGGGTCAGCATGTGCGAGCTTGCCTCCATGTACCGCGAGCAGGGACAGATGGGCAAGGCCATTGGCACGCTCATCAGAGCGCTAGAGTCACTCGGAAGCGTAATTGAGGGAGGTAGGCCTGAAGATAGTTTCGCACCGGTAGTTGTCAAGAAATGGGGTGGTCTTATACTGCCCATGACGGCGAGCAACTGGAAGCTGTTGTTGAACTGCTACCCCCAAGTTGCGCCGCAGATTGCGCTCCAGTTTGTCCCGTGGGCCAAGACAGCTTATTTGATGAGCATGGGCGAGGACGAAACATTTTTCCAGGAAGTATAGGGGCAC